CTGAAGGCAGGAAAATACATGATGCTTACTGAAACTAAGTTCAGAGAGAACACAATTTTTTTGTTTGTAAGAACCCTATGTATGAAAGAAATGAAAGAAGCGCTTCCTGCAAATTCCAGATCCATGCTCGTCGTACTCTGCCTTCAACACGAACCTAAAATAACCACTCGTAAAACTGTTAACAAAACTTTTTACGGTACTATTTTAAAGAAGAGGCCTAAGCTGCAGCCAAGTGTAGAGAGAAAAGATGGCAAATAGCAATGCCTGGCACCAGTTGATGAAGTTGGCTTCATCGTGAAGCTGCAGGTAGCAAATAAGATCATTTCGTGCAATAACTTACGGGTATGCAAAAAAAAGAAGTGTCTTCCTGGGCTCTGCGCCCCGGATTTTTATCAAAGCCCATAGCATGCCCAGCGTTATGACGGCGGTACAACCGCTGTCGACTGATGTCCTAAGCAACCTCGGAATTTAGCACTCTCGAAACGTGAAAACTCAGACTTAAGTGTGCATCGACAATACAAACTGCGAAGTACAAAAGGTCACCAGGTAAGTGATGCCGAGCTTCGTCGTTACTCTGCATCCTAAACAAGGTCTAGGCTCACGTTTCGCACCAACGCCTCGAATAAGTCATTTTCATTCCTCCGAGAGCCACTCGATGATACGTGAAGTCCTCAGCAAATGAGACTTTATAACGTGACTATGCAATTCTGCGCTTTCTGATTAAACCAGCCTTAAGGGGTTCGAGATAACAAAACCTACTCCTGTACTAGAAAAAATCATCCCTCTGAGGAGCTTCTTAAAACAAGAGTCGCTGACCTGTCTCCTAAAGCATCCAGTTTGACAGCTTGCCGTCCGCAACTCCATGCATGCGTCACCGGGTCCTTTACGTTCCTCAAGTGTATCTCAAATATTTGATCCACGTGTGATCGCAAGTCGTTAAAGCTAAAATTCACACCTAACATTTTCAACGTTTGCATGCGCGCTTTATGCACTGGCAAAAAGAACTGCTGCATGGTTTCGGTCAACGGTTCGATTCTGTCACGCAGAAACGGCCTCTCCGTGTTTTGTTGATTCTGCTCAGTGCTGAAGTGCATTGCGCAATGCTCAGGAATCACAAGTACTTTCTAAACAACCCCACAACAGGTTGTTGCTGTCGGTACCACACTCGAAATCTCCCATCGATCAAAGTACAAGTACTGCAAAGATTT